GCAGGACCCTCAAGCTCCCAGGCCTCTGGTAGAGGACATGAGCTTGAAGGACGGAATAAAATGTCCGCCCTGAAGTGGGGGGTGAGTGGGGAATTTTCTTTTTTTTTTATATAAAATGTCTAAACTGTTTGTGGTATGTACCTGTATACTTGAGTACTTGATATGTATAAAGTGTCTTCTAACTGGGTATCTACATGCATGTGTACAGTACGTGCATGGGCTAAAAATATTACGTTTAAACTAAGGCTGGGCAAGATAACGTTATTTTCGCGTTAACACATTATTTAATTAACACCGACAATTATTTTAATCGCACGTTAATGCAGTTTTGTTTATTATTATTATTTTGAAACAGAACAGTGCGTTTGACAATGTCTTGGCCAAATGGAGAAAGGTTGTGGGCCACTTTAAACACAGTCCAGCAAGTGCTGCGGAATTTGAACAACATATTGAACACCATATTTGTTTAAAGTGTTTGCAAACCAAATGTTATGCTTTTTTCATACAGTGCTTTTTAAATAAAAGTGTGTAATACACTACTTTTTAATTCATTATTGAATGCTGCTCATATCAATGCAGTTAATTGTCACAGAAAATCATGCAGTTAATGCATTTAATGGTTTTAGTTGTTGCCCAGCACTAGTTTAAACCAGATACTCATCTGAAGTATCAGCTCTGCTGAGGTGGTTGGGAAAGTCCTCTAACATAAAAAGTAGTGGCCAACACCAATGTGTAATACAGTGATTGTGATTCACGTCCCCTGTTAATGTACATTAGGTAACAAAAACACATTATAGGGCTGAATCACTCTGACGGCCCCACCCTGCTTGAGGTTCTGTGGAATTGCCCAGGGAGCATTGCATTGGCAAAACATCTGTGTTTGGTGCCATTAAAATTTCACTCTCAAACTTTGAATGCTAACACACATTTCAATAACAGAGCACAGTTTGCTCAGACAACTAAATTGTCATGTAAAGCGATCCCACTTTCATCCAGAGAAAAATGTATATACCGACATCTGATATCAATAAACAAATGTAACTAACTTCATCTTTCTTCACTGCATTTATAAGAAACCCTCTATCCACTGACAAAGACCTTGAATCACAACAATATTCACAATTAAGAATCTTTAAAAACAGCCTTGATGTACAGAGTCCCACAGGGATCAGTTCTGTCTCTGATTCAACCTGTACATGCTCCCATCTTTTTATTTAATTTGCCAGGTTGCTTTCCATAGCTATGCTGATGATACCTAGATCTATCTGGCACTCTTCTCAGCAAACACCTGTGGGTCTGTGAGCTGAGAAGGAAACAACAGGAAGCAACAAAACCTCCTTCAAATAAAAGACAACTGAAATAACTCTTTTTGGCAATAAAGAAGAAAGGCTGGCTCTCAGTGATAACCTTGAGTCTAGGGCTCTAAAAACTAACATTAAGAATCTTAGTGTAATCACTGATGAGGATTTAAATTTCAGCTACAACAAAATCATCATTAAAACATAGCTAAAATGAGAAACTTTGTCTAAGCATAAAAGAAAAGCTCATTTATGTTTCATTTCTAGTAGGGTGGACTACTGTAATGTATTACTGATTGGCATCCCCAACAAGACCATCAGAAACTTGCAATTCATTCAAAGTGCTGCTGCTGCTAGAATATTGACAAACACCAAGAAGGCAGAACACATTACTTCAAACTTCAGATCCTTGCACTGGCTTCCAGTTAAATATAGAATTCCATTTAAGGTCCTACTTATTGTCAACATATCTCTCAATGGTCTGAGCCCAAAATATATCAGAGATATGTTTACTGAGTACAATCCTGGTAGGTGTCTCAGTTCTGCAGGTACTAGTCAGCTACTGGTGCCCAGAGCTCAAACTAATCAAGGCGAAAGTGCTTTTAGCCATTATGCTGCCAACAGCTGGAACGAGCTCCCATTAAAAGTTAGATCTGCCCCAACTGTAGCCACTGCTAAAACTAAAGACTGTTCTCTTTCACTGCTTTTGTCTCTTCTACTTATTATGTAAATTCTAATTTGTCTGTACTTTTAATAACTTTCTATATACTTTAATTTATACTTGCTTTCATCTTTTATCTTCTTAAAGTTTTTAAAAATGTTTTATGCATACATTAATGTGCCTTTGTGTATGAAACCATGCTATACAAATGAACTTACCTTTAACCCTGGCTCAGCCAAAATCCCCCAGTTGCATCTATAAAAGGTCCCTTGTCTGAAATTACAGTCCCCCCCCC